TTCACAGATTGAAATGATATCACTCAATGAAATATTACTAGGCGCTCATTTAATATACATCTTAAATGTAATACGCCTGATGGTTTGAAGTCCCGCTTTTAGTAGCATTTCGTGCTGAAACTCAAAAAAATTAGGCTCTCATTAAAACTACACTTTTCTAGTTTCACTTTCAAATTACCACTTTTCAGAGATATTAACTATTAACTCATGTTTTCCGATTTTTTTTAATTCTCTTTACAAAAATATATCAAGAGTTTTATTTTGTTATTTTTTTAAAACACGCCTTTTTTATATAAGTTTATATGTACGTTAAAAATTATATGCATCAAAAAACGTTCAAAGAAGTCTATGAAACAATGTATAGAAAGTATGTACCTACCTATAATCTTTAACAAAAGCCATCGACATCTTTTGTTAGAAGAATAGAACGCTCTCTAGTAAAATTATAAAATATACACTTTATATGTAGTACAAAACGGCCATGTCTTACGTCGACCGGAAAACTACGTGGGTCACAAATGCCTCAATATGACCTTACCTGGCACCAGGGGTAGAGGAAGGCCCAAAGAACGTTGGCTTAATATCGTGCAGGATGACATGCGTGCCAATGGACTCTAAAAAGGATGCTGAAGACCAGGCAAAGTGGAGGAAACTAAGTAGGAAAGCGGACCCTGGGTTCTCCCGCCCTGAGCGGAACGAGCAACCGGGATAGACACTAAAATGATGATGATAATAATAATATCAAATGGGTTAATCAAAATAATAACATATGAATAGAAATATTAAATTAATATTAAAACGAACTCTTTGAAGCTCATAAACTAATTTATATTACAAATAAAACATTTCATATTATGTTTGACTTTCACATATTTCTTTATTAATTTCGAATGTCTTTAATAAAATATCTAAGAAAAAAGTCTGTCTTTTACTAAATTTATTACGTATGTCTGTTAATAAGAAATTTTACTTTATCTTTGTTAGTAAGTAACATTTATCTTGATTAATAATATTATATTATTTGAAGACATTCAAAAAATAATTAAAATTTTTCATTTTCGTTTACACACACACACACACACGCACACGCACATTCGTATCTATATTCTAAATTAATCAATATATGTATATACACGAAGTTAGTTAAAACATAGTTCTGGCTAGAAGAGGCAGCAAATATAATTTTATTACCGTTCCAATAACATGTCGTAATGAATTTGTAGATGTTGCAAGAGGAAGCGAGCCGCTTGTCCCACTTCGGGAGCCACTGTTTATATTAGCTGTTTAATTTATACGAGAAAATAAATAGAATCAGTTACTGGGCGTACAAATAATATAATCAATGGAGGGGCCTGTATCAAATGGAAAACATTTGGATGTACTAATTTATCGACAATAGATTACGCTTGCTATAGTTCTAGTAACTAACTCATATGTATCGAAGAATGTAAGAATGCTATATATTTATTATGTCAAAATTTCATTTATCTCTTTATTATACAAATTTTCCATTTTAAGTCGCACTATTTATAACTTACATATATATTGTATGTTATTCTAACATATACATATGTATATCGTAAACTTTCGTAAATGCAACACAAATTAATTTTATCATATAAGGATTATAATATAACCCTATGTATATTTATCAATTACAATATACATAACAATGTTTTAAAATATTCATTATTAAATATTTATAAGTCGAAACTATTCAAAGGTACTCAGTATTTTGAAACCGACAAAGCTCCGTCGCAGACGGTCTGTTATGAAAGATTAAGGGATTCTTTTGAAATGAAAATATGAAATTGAATGAGAGAATTGTAAATAGATACAATGGAACTGGCAGTTTCGAGAGATTTGTGCTACAATAATAATGATTTAATAAAAAAAAAAACAATTGTCTATGGTTATGGTGGAACGATTATTTAGATTTAAAAAATTCATTCCATTAGAGTCGATGTATATGTAAAATAGATACGTAACTTATTTGTATACTTTTAGAACGCAAACACGTCTATACGGTATAAGAGCCAATTGGCATTCATATATTTATTGCAACGTTATATTAGCATAAGATCTATTATAATTTCATTATAAAATCGGTACTTACAATATATTTTAAAACAACTTGAATATGGTAAACAAGTCTATCTACGAGACAGATAACAAAGGGCTTTGTTTGATTACAATGACAAAGTTCGTTGCGCTCTCTAAATATATGAAATACGAATGTTATATGATACGAAGGAGGTCGGTGTAAATGTAACCACCGTCGCGGATAAGTTAAATTAAGACTGCGTGACTGTTAGCAACCACACATTAATATATTGGTTACATTAACAAGTGATACCGCGCTAAAATTGAAATATCCATTACAACTTAATATATCGATAAGAAAATCGATAGTCAAATTCTTCAAATCGATTTCGTGACTAATTAAAATCTTCCAAAGTTTTATATATGTTATTGCGTAGTAAATGCATTCCTTGTTACAATACAATCTTATGTACCTACTTCATAATACAAGTGGCTTAAGAACCCCTAGAATTGCGTTATACTTGCGGCTTCTATACGTGTTATAGAAGCAAATAGGTTTAGGCATTTATGTTAAAAATGCACAGATTTTTCTATAAGAAATTTCATCACGAATTACATAATATATTTAGCAAATATATATTTACTTAAGCAGCATTACAAAGGTACGCTCGAGAAAGAATTTTGTTCTTTTTTTAAAAGTACACATTTCTTTAGTACCTACTTATGTCATCTAGTGCATATTATGTATTGACGTGACGTTTTAAATTGGATTGCAGATAAAATAAATTAAATGTAACACAGCGTATACAAAAATTTTATAATTTTTAAATATCGTAAATATACTTCGCTTAAGAAATACTCCTAGTTAAAAAAAACTTTTCAGTATTAAAAACTATGTAATACAGCTATAAAATATTAATATTTATGTTAATGATTTCTTTCTAATGTTTATTCATTTTTACACAGTGTTGCAACTTTACATCTTATTTGTATTATTGAATATTGTCATTGGTGAGGTAATTCTGTAGTTTGATTGTTTGATATATGTCTTGTTTAGAACCGTAATAAAAAGTTTTTATATTTCAACTATTAATAAAACGATATAAAAATGTGTATGCGATTTTTTAAGTTTTCTTACTTGTAACTATGATGTAAATACAATCGTAATACCAATTATTTATTAAAAACACTACAAAATAATTGAAAAACTACGTCAAGCCATATATTTAATAATTTAAACAGTAATGGAAATGTATATAAATAATAAATATATACATTTTTTATATCATAGAATCGTGAGTACATAATAATTATTATTATGTTTATAATAATAATGGAATGCATATTTCATTTATAAGTGACAGTGACACGCATGCCTTGGCTTATTTGTGCCCTGACGTCAGATCGTTGATCGTAGTATCGCATTATGGGAATCGAAGCCTGCAATGTGCATTGCATGCTTAAGATGTTTCCCACATGACATGATTACCGATTTTCCTAAATATTAGCATGCTTTATGTATATGTTGACCAAATAAATGTTTGTTTATATAACATTCGATGTATATCGTACTATTTATATTATTATGTCAATATATAGTACATAGTTACAGTATGCTTTTCGTATGCACTCGCAGACATAAAGAGGAAAGGGTAATCCGCGCCAATTATTACTAGTGACAATACAATGCACTTCGCAATACATGGAGTTGAATAGTAATTATCTATATATACATATAAGCGAGAGTAAAACTGGCTCAACCAGTTCTCCCCACCCCAGCTATCCTTAGCTCGAACAGCTGACTGATCAAACAACAAAGAAGTCAGTTCAATCTCCATAACAACAACGCGTACAAAGAACCGTTTATATTGTCTATATATTTTCTATCGATTTAACATCCAAATAAAATTTATAGTCGTTTTATTGTCAATATTGCAGACTAACATCTAAATATGCTACTCGTGAGCGATGTAAATACGTTTAGAAAGTATTTTGTTATTAATTTGTTATTACGGAATGTTTGATGAAATCATGAATCCTGAAGGTGATGACCTATCTAAAGGGCATACTTGCCTTTCTGTTCATCCAATTTTCGGAGACCCTTGATTTATGAATCTCCAAAAAACAAATGTCCCTTTTTCAAAATAAAGTCTTGTTTATAATTGACAAATCACAGAATCATTTTATATGTTAAAAGTCAATTATCACTTGTGTCGTAGTTTCTCACTGGTTTATTTACAGTAATTTAACTCTCAGACACGATTATTTTTACAAATAATAAAGTCATAAGTACAGGATAGTCTTTGTTTACAATGCTGGGAGTTTTATGTATTATTTACATCACTTTTCAGCGGCCTGCTAACGTAATAATCGTTTGCACTGCCTGCGCACTTTATTTGCGCTGCTGCGTCGAAAACAGTTGTTCCGATGTCGAAACTAGCTCGAAGTATCGAGTCGGACGGAGACGTCGGCGATCCTCGACTCTCCAGCTAGACTTGTTTCGTCACCATTTTCTTTCTCAGTTCCTAGCATATGTCTATTGGTTCTTTTATTTCATTCGCTCATTTGACAGTTAACACGGTGTTACTAGTTACATTTTTATTTTAATGCTAATAAAATTATTTAATAATAATTTACGATTCTAAATCATAAAAATAATTTCGGAAGCCACGCTTTTATTGCTTATTTGGTAAATTTATTTTATAACTTTATAATCTTTTTGTTTAGGACTGTTACATATCATTTTAATTTGTGAGATTGTTGTTTGAATTTTATATTCATGTTGTGTTCATTAAGCTCTTGAAAATTCACAATTTCAGTATTTTGTCTCGTTCATCCCAGTAGATAATATTAAAATATAAATCCCTACACCTTGGATTCATTACCATTTAGCTCTAATAGCTTAATTAAAACAGCGTTTTGTATAATTATATTTATTGAAATAATAATGTTGTATCTTATGCGGTAGAACTTTTTGTAACGGTAGTGTCATCACGTCGACTAAGACTCCTCCTCTCGCCCTTGTGACATGACCTCACACTTTGTGGAACCCCTCGACCTTAACGTGACACGTATTTTATTGACAGCCCCTGAGGTGGATTAATAACAAACAATGAAGCGAGCAGTACCTAAATATTTATTATACAACAATTTATAAAATTAAATAAAAAATTATTATGTTATTTTCTGCCAAAACTTTCCACTCCTCATAACGTATTTTGATGTCTTACTAGAGTTTTTCTTTGGAGCCGAATGTGTCTCGCTACCACCACCTGAAGCGGATTCTTCGTTTTCTGCTTGGGCCTTCAATGTCTTCTTGATAAATCCAATCTACAAGAATATCAATACATGGTATTATTAAAAAAAAAAAAAACAATTATAAACACAAATTTTAAGACTATACTTTTGAATTTAGTATCACAGAATTGTATAAAGATAAAATATATTGTTATCCACAACTTATATTACAACAATAACATTTGAATCGGTTCTTAGAGTCAATTTGATCATTATACATTTTTATAAAGTTTTCATATCTTAAAGAATTCTTATTTCCTATGAGATAAAGCTACGGCAAAATACTTTTATTGCTTCAAACAACATTTAAAGTCCTAACCTCCTGTTCAATAGTCTGTTGGTGTCTAATAGATCTTTGTTTGTGGTGATTAGCTCTTTGTATATGTCGATCCACTGAGCTAAGAACAGTTTCGCAGGCGTTACACCAGTCGGCCAACACATCAGCAATGGCAGCAGCATCTTCTAACCGAGCATCCCGACCTAATGCGACATCTACTTCTACACGCTTACATTCTTGGTCAAGCTTACCATGGATTATATCTGTAATTATTTACATTAACTTATGTGAAATACAATTTCTTTCATATATATACTGAAATGGAATGGAAGTTGAGTTATAAATGTGATTGAAATACTATAATCATTTAGAAGGAATCTTAAGAGATATTTTGATGAATAGAATAAATGGTAGTAGTGATACTAACCTGCATAAATAGCTTCAATAATTAAATCCTCCAAATCTCTAACATTCTTAATATCTAATTCTTCTAGAAGCACACTGTACGGTATACATTTTTCTTGAGTAGCCAATGTTGCTATTGTTAAATGTTGTAACTTCTTACATTGTACAGGATTCAGTTCTAAGTATTCAGATTTATTTTCTAAATAGTCTTTATAAGTACCATATGCAAACAAATTGAGAGTTTTAAAATGTGTAGCATATGGTCCTGTCTCCAACTGAAATTTGAATAATTTGTTTTTAAATATAAACAAGAGAGAGAAGAATGTCAGACTGAATGATAGAAAATAATTAATTTTTAATACCTCTTTTATGTTTGGCATTTCTAAAAGTTCTCCGAAGACATGCACTCCTGGAGCTTCGAGAACCTGTTTAATAAGTTCGGCACATGCCGACCCCTTAGCACCTTTAGCAAGCAATATGAACTGTTCTAAGGGATGGTTTGTGGAAACCGATGACAAAGAAGTTGGTTCATCTCTGTCCATCGACATTGGATTCATAGTGGAAATTAAATATTACTATCCTTTACAATGCTAAAGAAGTGAAAAGAGTTTTTTTGTATTAAAAAGAAGGGTAATAAGATGTTATTTAATTTTTCGTAGGTAACAGAAGTCAAATTTGCAAGCACAATATTTTTGACATTTGACATTCATGATAGCATTTTTAGATGCCAAATAAAGAACGTTTATTATTTTTATTATAGTTAGACAAGTAATGTTTAGTTAAATACTTCGTTTAAATCTTTAAAGAGTAGCTGAAAAGCCAGAGTTGGCAAAAAGTTGGTTCTAACTTGTTTTTTGTTGATGAAATTTTTGTATAATATTACTTATTTGATTTTTTTTATGAAATATTCATATTATATAATTAAAAGTCCATAACAATTCCAGTCCAGTACCATTTTGAAAGCTCGTAACTATAAATAAGTTATAATGTTTCAAATATGGTTGAAATGTGTATAGTCACAATTTATTAAAATATATGGCAAGAACATGTATAAAAATTGGCCATAAACAATAAGATGGCGTCCGGTTTTTTGTGTGTGCTATAAAATTATTGTTTTCTTAATAGCAGTAAGTGTATTTAATTAATGAAGTTTTTACGTTACTTCTTAATAGTAAATTATATTATGAAGTTCAAAATTATAAGTCAGAGATTGTCCTGTTCGCCGTTATGGTCAGATTACTTGCGTGTCAATGTAGCTTCTAGCGTCCAATGCCGCCTTTTTCGTCGACTCGATGTGTTTAGTTTATAACATTTATGTGGTCTAATGTTCATAATCAATTTGTGATAGTTTGTGAATTAAAATATACTGTATATATAACACAATACATGACTCGAGTTGTTTCGCCGCTAGATTGATGAGTGTGTTGTGCATTAGTGTGAAAGTGTACGTACATGTTCGTAATGGCAAATCTGTCATGAGTAGTGTTTACTATCGGAGAATTGAATGTGTGTTAGTCGGTTTACGTGAATGTAGTGGATAATAATAAGTGAAAATGTGTATGCCAACGAGTAATGTTGCGGGCTTCGGCTACTCGTGGGGTTTCACGAGTAACGCAGATCTGACCAAGTGTGAAGTCGAGACACCCAGCAGCCTGAGCTATACCTTGGGGAATACGGTTCGTTATATATAATATTAAGTTACAAAACTTTTGCTTCAATGTCATACAAACCATATAAAACACAATCGTATTTGTTAGAGAATCTTTAAATTTATGTCATAACTTTTTTGAACATCTGTATACAAACAAAAATATATTATGAAGATTCTTATATAATTTTTTCTATTATGGAATAGAATTTTTCTAATTTCGTGTAGATCCCTAGTGTAAATGGCATAATAATTCATATATTTGTTTAATGTTTTTCAGGTTTCTCCAGAAACGACACTGACTGTTATGTCGCACAAAACTCCACAAGTGCAAGACAAAGTGGGTACAGTAGCAGTAGCGGTAACAAATGCAGCAACTCAAGTCACAAGGGTGGTAACAGCAGGTACACCTGTGACTGCTAGGAGGGCCATGTTTGTGTTGAACGAAGCCCCCACGCACACAATTAGTAGAGTCTCACAACCAAATCAGACGGCAACTATACAGAGTGAGTGTAAGGGGAAATGATTTATTATTAGCCAAAAATCATATATATATGGTCAGTAACAACAGTTCTGAATCTAAGAAGAAGGATGACACTTATACAAAAAAATCTAAAACAATAACTCTTATTATTTCATTAATGTTTATCAAGATTATTAACAATATTTTGTATTTCAGCAACACATTTATCTGCAAAACCATTCATGACACCGATTGGTCCTATTCAGTTGACTGCAGAGGAATGTAATGAGATTTTGATGAAACGGGCCCTTCAAGCACAAGGTATAGCCACACCAGTCATAGATGCTTCCCAGTTGAATCATTCTATATTAAATGGGAGTCTGAAGAGCCTTGCCGAGGCCACCGCCCAGCAGTCACAGGCTGATTCAATACAGACAACCGTTCATCAACACCACTTGCTTAATACTAAACAGGAACCGGGTACAGCAAATAATTCACCTAAAGTAAGTGAATTACTATAAAAAATTCTAAATATATGTATTGATAAAAAACTGTCATAGTGTTTCTGATTAATAGTTTTTTTTACTAAAGGCGGTCCATAGACTATGAAGGAATCTAGTTAGAAATTTTTGTTCAATCACCGTATTCAATTGCGTGTCAATAAAGACTAAGTAATAGTTTTCTAAATTTTCATTTTTGTAATGGTTTTCTAAATTTTCAGGCATTGCTTAAATATATGCTACTAAAAATTTCAGCTATCATGGTAATACTTGTATAATAGACAAAGTAGAATGTTTTATAATCATATATACAGGGTGACTGGTGAATTACTATCGATACTTGAGGACGTGATATTTGACGATCATATATGACAAAATAAAAATTAATATAACATAAATATTAATAAACTTCTAAGTAAAGTTAACGAAAAGTTGTGTAATTAATTACGCATCGTGTGAACACCCTACAGATTAGGTATATACACACACACACACACACACAAGGGCGTGCGGCGGCGTGGTGTTGTATCAGCACGCCGCCGCACGCGTCCACACTTGGAACACTTGGAACGTGTCCACACTTAATATATTTATACGGAAATTTGGTCAAAAATTAAGTACCTATTTTTTTTACATAATTTGAATGAGAATCATGTACCGAGTATTCTCCTTAAATATTGATAGTAATTCACCAGTCACCCTGAATATGAATATTTTTACCATATTGATCTTTTGTATATGTATTATGTGTGTGTATAGTTAATTAACAGAGTGTTAGACGGTGTATTCACAGACAGACATGATGACTAACGCTGGGATGACTGTGCCACCGGTCAAGGAACGTCCATACTCATGTGAGGAGTGCGGAAAATCTTTTCTACTGAAGCATCATCTCACAACACATGCAAGAGTTCATACAGGTACAGCCACTTTATACAGCTAGATTTGATCAAAAAAAAAATATATATATACAAACCTATTTCATTCAAAAACTTTTTGGAGTTTATTACTATGATATATCATATTTTAAGAAGACTTAATGTACATTTGTACATTTTCCTTTCTTTGTTTTTCTCTTATTATTCTTGTCTATATTGGTGTACAATAAAGTGTATATAAATAAATAAAAAATAATGTATATCTATTTATAGGAGAGAGGCCTCATGTATGTGGTCATTGTGGGAAAGCGTTTGCAAGAAAACATTGCCTCAATACACATCTACTGTTACATTCTGCTGACCGGCCCTACAGATGTCATGAGTGTAAAATGGCATTCACACTTAAACACCATCTTGTTACACATTCACGAGTAAGTATATTATTTGAAAATATAGCTCAATTGATATATTAAATATGTATGGTACATATTTTATTATCAACATCATGTATGTCATTTCACTACATATATTTACTATAAAATGAACCTTTATTGTAAGACAGATTTAAAACATGTACAGATATATTTTTTACTAAGTCTTTACTCAATTTACAAATAATACCAATTATCATAAGAAACCAAAAAGGTGGGTGATTTTTCATCAAAATCACCTTTTGTTATGTCTGTATTAAAAAGTTTGACGTCGCGTCGTGTATAGATATGAAAAATAAATATTTCCAGGTTCACAGTCGCGAGCGTCCGTTTGTATGCGGCGAGTGCGGTCGAGGGTTCCCCTTGAAGCGACATCTAGTGACGCACAGCAAGTACCACGCGGGGGAGAGACCCTTCGTCTGCGGAGACTGTGGGGAGAGCTTTGCGCAGAAAGTACGACTAGTATTAATGTATATTAACAGTATGTTACATAAATTATCATCATGTCAGGTTGTAGTTATATATTACAGATATTTGTGTAAAAAATGAAAATTAATAGCATATACTTGATTGCAAAACGTAATTTGAAGAAAGTACATAACACTTTTATGAGAAAACCTACTACATACTACATTCTTGGAACAGACATCGAAGTAAGCCCTAGTAGGTTCTTTTCAAATTTGGTTAGGTAGAGAGAGGAGCATGAACAGTGGAGGTGAGTGTTTAACGCGCGTTAGATAAGGGCGCCTTAAACCTACACTTGGGTCGCAAGTCCCAGGCACTGTTGAAGCTCCTCTCACTACAACGCGATGGACCCGGCACCCACACGGTTAATCCATTGAATGCTAAGAGGTTTCGTCTCTTAAATGCATGAAAAAATTGCCGAGATATTCTTATTGATAAATAAAAACATAATATATTGAAATCAACATACATGCAATAACAATATAAATTTAAACAACAGACATATATATGTAATATCAGGTGATATAAAGTAACCATTTTATGTCGTAGGAACATCTTGTAATGCACAGTCGTTTCCACGGTTCATTGTCACCGTTCGTATGTCCTGACTGCGGGGTCGCCTTCGCAAGAAAATTCCAACTTGTCAATCACGGCCGAGTACACGGCAGAGTGCCACACGCCTGTCCCGTCTGTGGGAAAGAATTTCTACAGAAGAGGACTCTAGTCGCGCATCTGAAGTGAGTATACATACAAAATAGACAATATAAAGCTAATCCGCGTAACTGGCGTTGTATAATTTCCCGTATCTACATTGGAAGCAGATCATCATAAGAAAATTTGAGCCGAAATATTTTCCATTCTAACGAATTATAAGGTAATTTTTTCACAATTAGTAATAAATTAAACACTAAATAATTACTAAATACCTGGTTACCGAGCTTTGCTCGGTATATAGAAATTATAAGTATTTATTTTGCGTTTTTTTATTATTTCGTTTAGGCATATTTAAGTGAACATGTTAAGAAGACACAAAACAATATAAGGGTGAATATACGCTATTTGGTTTTTTCGTGTCCCAGAAGGAAATGTTATCGGTTCCATTCAGTATTTATAATTTATTTATTTCAAACTATTTAAAAATCAGTAATCACAGGAGCCAGACGATTATCAATTTTATTTCAGTTTTATAAGCACCAGAGGAAAAAAATTAAATGTGTTACCAGAAGAGTGACACTGTTGCCAGAGTAGTAACAAATCAAAGCAGGGTTATTGTCATACCATTGTTTATTAGCTAAGAAAGTTGACTAATAGTAAATAAAACGTCTATTTACGTCTGTATAAAAAAAATGTCACTTCTCTGGCTATCATGTATGTAATATGCCAGGGAAGTGACAAAATCACACATAATGTATTAAAATTAACATAATTCGTTTTTCTTTCTCCAGTTTAAGTTGATATATGACATCTACGGACAATAAACATTGATTATAGAAATTAACAATTTCGTAACGATGAAATACATATATATATATATATATATATATATATATATATATATATATATATATATATATATATATATATATATATATATATATATATATATATATATACCAAAGGAAATACTCTAAGGACTGGCACAAAATTACTTTACGAAAGTTTATCGAAAACTGATCCAATTTTTTTTTATTTTGCTCAAATTATTTACCTTGCCTCTTTTTAAATAAATTTTTAAGTCTTTGAATTCCGCGAGATGAAGTAACAGTATTGTAACATGACTCGAAAATAAGTAATATTATTTTATATTAATTTAATTTTTAATCCTAATTTTGTTTAAAGTATGTTTCGATGTTTATTAAAACGTATGACCACATTACATAAAAAACATAATTGTGTACTTTTGGAAAGTATTCAGCCATAAGTTCATTTTAATTCATAAGTGGGAAGGCCAGAGGAGTATACATTTTTAACTATTTTACATTATATAATTATCGTGAATAGTCTTTGTAGGTCAGTTAAAATGCCATATTCTTTATGGTTTAAGCATAAAGAGACAATGGTATACTAAGTTTTACATAAAATTTGTCTATATACCAATGGAATTCAAATAGCGTATATTCACCAATAAATCAACAATAAATTTCTTTCAAAACAAACAATAATTGACTTCCTGTTACTAAGCAACGCCACCTTTTGTTGTTTCATTAAAGCAATAGATAAAAGCAATTAGCAAAAAGTTTTAATATAGATGTCAGGAAGAGTCATATTTTAAACGACTCCTTTTTGTATTTTTTCTTTTTAAATAAAACAACATTTTCTAAAAATAATTCCTAGCTAGATCGATTTATCGCCCCCGAAATCCCCTACGTACTAAATTTCATGAAAATCGTTGGAGCCGATTCCGAGATTCCAATTATATCTTTATATTAATACAAGAATTGCTCGTTTAAATATATAAGATTGTGAAATAATTACCTTAAAAGTCGTGAATTTAGAAAACATTATTATCTTACATTATATTACCTATAAATCACAAACTAAAGAGTAAATTTTGTTTTAGAATTCACACGGGAGAAGGAGCGGTGGCTTGTTTAGAGTGTGGCGAAGCTTTTAAATGTAAACCCGAACTACAGCAGCATTTGAAGATAACGAGGCACTGTCTCACTGCGACCCAACAGCAGAGTCAGCAACAACAACAACAGCAGCAACAACAACAGCAACAGCAGCAGCAAGCACAGCAACAGGCTCAACAACAAGCCCAGCAACAGCAACAACAACAGCAGCAACAACAACAGACAACTGTTATAAAACAAGACGATTTCAAACCTCAAATAGTTCAAGTAATTGGTGCCGATGGTCAAATTATCACTGAGAAGGCATCCCCTGGTTATGTGTGTCCTGAATGCGGCTCTTGCTTCAATACCAAGGTAAGTTATATATTTTAAATATAGAACTATTTTGTAATCTTACTCTTTTGAGTCACTTACATTCTGACATAAAAAAATCAAACCGAAATTTTGTTTCTTCCAAAACTAGACACAATACTGTCTTCTATATCTTTTTCAAACATTTGATTCACTCTTAATACAATTTCTATACGATTGTTTGGTGGCCATATTAATAAAAAAAAATCATATACATTTTTGTTACATAGGGTTTTTTATACCTCATCGTCTGTTTGTTTATAGGAGGCGTTGTCACTGCACGTGAGACTGCACGCGGGCGACCGCACGTGTGTCACTGACCTGTGTGCACTCACCGCCGCCTTGCAGCCCAGTCTGGTGCATCACAGTACGTACACACACATATATAGGAACTAAAGAAATATACATTAGGCACACACACACACACCCACATACACACGAATGTAAACTGTATACTGATATTGACACACACAGGCGCATATACATACGCACACATACGTAAACACATTTATATTTCTTTAGTCCTGTTTATTTGAATGTCCATAAATAGGCCAGTGCAGAAGCCTTTAAAATTAATGAAAAGTGAAAATAAATTATAGTAGTAGTTAGTTAGTGGTGGTCAAAATATCAGGTTTTTTCAAAAATTTGGTGTGTCTTCTGTTCGTTGAAATCTCTATTTTCCGACGGTGAAGAAAAAAGTATAAGTTTCTTACTTACAGTACCATTTTTGGATAAAATAATCATGTCCCTTTTAATGAAATGACACTCGATATCGTTTGGAAAATGCTCTTTCAATTTATTTTAATAGTTTTAGCAGTTTAATGTCAATTTTCTGTAAATTACCTAAAAGAGGGACTATCTGGAGAACTTCCAGAGTACATTACTCACTAACTAACTGTAAAAAAAAATGTTAGTACAAAAGTTTTAGATCTTTTTATTACCTACAACTTTTGCCATATAAGTTTTTTCCGTAGGACTTTTAGTTTTGTCGGAAATCGAGAAAACCCATTATTTACCCTTAAATACCCATCCCCGCAGCCTTCCCGACCTCAGATCGCCCGTAAATTATTTTTCCTTTAACTGTTATAATATTCCCCTCCTTTTCTAATCAGTTTCATTCTACTATAATTTAATTATGTTTTAAAAGCTATCGACACTGGTCTAAAACACGTACCAATACATACAGATACAAATTAACACAAAGACATGTGTCCATGACACATGCAAACATACATACATACATACATAAAGACTCACATAGACGTATAACCAGAGGTATACACATTCCCTTAGTGATTTACGTGATATGGGTAGCATTTTAGGTTTACATAAACATACACACACACATAATCTACAATCTTACACACATTATTCATATTGTTAACATACGACAATACTATACACGCTTACACACACGTAATAACTTAGTGACGTCACCAAAAAGGAAGAAGTGCTTAATTCGCCTGTACATTTATTTATTTTCTAACACTTCAAAAGAACATTTATAATTTTATAACTCGGTAATGGAAATCTTTTCAACAACCGAATTATTCGCTGTATAAAAAATTAATTAATTGTATTCTTAACGTCGAAAAATATTAAAAAATTCTTCCTGTGTTAGCAGATTTAAGCTTGGATTTCTTTAACTATATTATCAAATATACGAATTAGCATTTCATGATAAGAATTTGAATACTTTGTTTCAGATCAACCCATTCAAATAATATCTTCCAACCCCAGTAACGTAGTACACACACAGGTAATAGCAACGGTGAGTGAGGTGAATGTGATACAGAGATTTATACTTTATATATGATAGTTTTAAAACTAAATATTTATCACAGAATCATCACATGACGACCCCACGACCGAAGTTACATTTCTGTGTCGACTGCGGTAAAGGATTCGCTGCGAAACACGGCTTATTGGCTCATCATAAAAGGTAATTTATATGAATATATAATCTATAGCTTTTATTGCTGATTTTAAGCTATTGCATAACTTCTATCGCGGGCCTTGAACGTGGAGACTTACATAGTCCCGAATTTCCGTAACGAAAATAACCTAACACCTATCGTGCAACGTTGTTTCAGTTCGGCAAACTTCGGCACGGTGTATGTTTTATAGTCATTAATATTTAATTATTATATTTTTATATACAGGGTGTATGAGAAATTGTGTCAACCCTCTTAACTACGTTATCAGTATCGAAAATGTAACACAATAAAACAACTTACATTTACAAACTCTTCAATAAAAATAATAAAATTAAATATTAAATGATTATTATATGTAGAGTAACAAAATGTTTGTAAGCCCTGGTATAACACAATGACACGCAATGACGTCATCACAGCTGCTGCGCTACTAGTGACGACCTTGAAGTTACTTTCACATTATTGAAAATATCGATATTTAAAAAATCATAACAATAAATAAATATTTAATATTCATATTATTTCGATACTTATTTTGATATATCAAACATTAATATTATGTTTGATTGTAAAACACCATTTTTAACAGAAATAGATTAACGATTTATCCTAATAATACAACATATTATTATGTAGTTAATTTACCTGAACAAGTTTCAAATTATAATATTTATTATTAATAAAAGTTATTTTAAATGAAATTATTTTAATGTGAAAAGCATAACTATTTATAGCAATATTGAAAATGTCGATAGAATATTTATCGATATAACTAATTTTTACACTTTCAAATCTCTTTCGAACAACTAACAGAATAGTAATAATAACGCCGGCGGCCCGGCGCCTGCGGTCAATGGTCACGCATGCGCCGTTGCGACTATATTGTGTCTTGACCTTGTATGAGTCAGATGTTTGGAACATTTTTTCGAATAATGTCGATTTAAAACTTATTTAGCCTATGCACTGGAACTGACCTCTGCTTGATATTTTTTAAGTTATACTATTTTTTATAATAAGCTTATACTTATATGTATACATGCCTTCAAGGGTTGACACAGTTTTTCATACACCCTGTATATAAATGTATATTTCAGGCATCCAGATAGCAGTTGTACCCTTCGGACGCACGTGTGTGATCAGTGTGGGAAAGCATTCTTCCAGAAGAACCATCTCATGCTGCATCAGAGACAACACATGGACCTACCGCCTAGAAATGTAAATATAATTACATACATATAAAATAATTACAACACATATTTCTAATGTCATCAATTGTTATATGGAAAACGTTATATTATTTCGAATTATGCTTCAAAAGTAAGCTTTAAACTAAATGTTGTTATAATAATAATAATAATAATTAGCCTTTATTAATATCCATGACTTAATTCTATGACATAAGTATGTATTTCAAATTATAAAAACCTTGACTTATTCCCAATATATAAAAAAAGTTTAAAAAAGTAATAGTGCTAAATTTAATACTAAATCATGGCCTCTCTTGGGTATAGACCTCCTCCAACTGTTTCCAGTGTACTCTACCCTTGTTTTTTTTTATATAAATTAAATTTTGTTACCTTATTACTTACTTATTTATTATTTACTCCAGTCACAAGCACAACAACAAGCAACACAACAAGCACAACAGCAAGCGGCCCAACAGGCGGCACAGCAAGCGGCGCAACAGGTAGCACAACAAGTACAGCAACAGGTGCAGCAGCAGCAACAACAGCAGCAGCAACAACAACAACAACAGCAGCAGCAGCAACAACATCAGGTGCAGCACCAGAACCTCGAGATGGATCAGCAAGATCACCAGCAACCGACTCACATACAGGTTGTGAGTAGAAATCGATTAATAGGAAAAACAAATTGAATTTTATGTTTTTCATACTATTTTAATGATGATAAAACACTACTAGAGCTACTTGTATGTATGTATATACAGGGTGACTGGTGAATTACTATCGATACTTGAGGACGTGATATTTGACGATCATATATGACAAAATAAAAATTTTAAGTAAAGTTAACCAAAAGTTATGTAATTAATTACGCATCGTGTGAACACCCTAAAGATTAGGTATACACACACGCACACACACACGTGTGGCGGCGTAGTGTTGTATCAGCACGCCGCCACACGCGTCCACACTTGGAACACTTGGAACGTGTCCACGCTTTATTTATTTATACGGAAATTTTGTCAAAAATTAAGTACCTATTTTTGTTACATAATTCGAATGAGAATCATGTACCGAGTATTCTCCTTAAATATTGATAGTAATTCACCAGTCACCCTGTATATTTACATTTATGTAATGCAGACACTTGTATAACTATAAATAATTATACAGGGTGTATAAAAAACTGTGTCAACCCTTGAAGGCATGTATTGTTATGATTTTATAAGTATAAGCTTTTTATAAAAAATAGTATAACTTAGTTAAGAGGGTTGACACAGTTTTTCATACACCCTGTATATGTATCAAGTTTAAATAGAAATATTATAATTGATGATACCTATTTTGTTAAATGAGGCAACGTTTTTTGGATACTACGCGTTCTTTATTATTTTATTTCTACATGTACCCGACATTTTGATATACTTTTCATCTATCGCAATCACGGTCAGACTAGATTCATGTCAATATGCAGAAATAAAATGATAAATAGGCGTAGTACTATAATAAGCTTCATTTCATTTAAATGTGTACACTGTACATACTAAAGTTTTAGATATCCTTGTGCTTATAATGTGAATCGGTTTAAGTTTGATCACATATATATGTTTGAACACAATATATTATCACAATTATATTTTCTAACCTATATTAGAATTCGCAAACTAATAATTCGAGTAATTACATTAATATTTCCCACAAACATTTCTTTTTTAAGAGGAAAAATAAGAGTATTTATTTTTCCTCTTCTAAGCCTGAGAAGAGTTGTTAAAGGTACAAGCAAATTTATTATGTAGTAAATCTATACAAGTTATATCAGACTTGAATATTTATTGATTTTTGTGCGGTTGTTTCATAGAGAGTATTGGGTTATTACTCTATTTAAATTGTAGGTTTTGAAATATGTAATGATTTTAATTTATTTTATTTATTTATTTAATAATGTTGTACAAAATAATTTGTGTCTTTAATTGCAGTAAAAAATAAACTTGTTTAAAACAGCATATGAAAATTTACAGAGTACACATTGTACATATTAATAATGTATTATAATATTTATTCCAGGTAACGAATCGTTCGGGGCAGGTTATAGGCAACCAGATAGTAGTGGGCACTGTCGGCGGGCGACGTGCCCTGCTCGGCTCACCGCTACACATAGTCACCAGGGACGGGAAACAACTCGCCTCGCAGATAGGACACAAGAGACACCACGCGTACGTTACTAATACACACACACACACACTCACACACACATAAACATTACACATAGACTTAAAACCATCACATGCCTTAGAGATGAGAATTGTGGCACTCCGAAAGAAAGAGAGGAAACGAAGTTTCGGTCTATCTTTATATCTCTCAAAATAGTACCGTACCTATGAGGAAAGAGATAATGCTAGACCGAAAGCATAGGCCATCTCTCTTACTCTTTTCAAACCAAAAATTACTGCAGATTATACGCGTACGGCATGTCCATTAGTATAAATCGATGCTTAAAACCATAACACACATAACTATGCCCACATGCGTACTCACAACTACAATCACATGCCCATATACACAATAATTACATTCACACTCCCATATATATACTTACATACACACATCTGTATATAACTACACCTACACACACGCAACACACAGCCACACATTTACATTCACTTGAAAACTACATTATATCAATATTTATATACTAAATTACTTTTCTTTGTTTATCTACTGCAATATATATGTATTATGTTTCAGCGGTGATGTGAAGGAGGTCGGTGGGCTAGTATTGTCGGGTCGTGGGGCGACTGGGCTCATCAAGTACGAGATATCGATACCACCGCCGGCGTCAGTGGTACAAGTACAGCAACTAGACTGAACGAATGACGAATAGACTAACATACAGTGTAATACAGTGATACAGCAGTTGTATAGAACATACTACGAGTTCGCACGTACATACGGACAGTGTAATCGTACATAAACTCTCACATAACTTGTGGTAGGGGCAGTTTTAGATGACCCATATATTGTCAATTCTGTACCATCGAGGACTTATAATTCGGTTGAGTATATTGTTGCTATATTCACATATAACAGGATATAGAGGCGTCCAATTTATTGTATAGGAACCAGCGTGCGATTAATGGCAATTGATTCGCAAATACTGTATATATTGCTCTAAAATTTAGGGCATAGAAATTTGCGATCATGTAAAAATAAAGATCGGTGTACATTTAATGTTAAGCGTAGTTGTATCTAGTGTATTTTATTGTACATATCATAAATTTTTTTAATGGCAAATACTGTTTTTTTATATATATATAATTTGTAATTATATTGTACAATTTAGTTAAATGCGAAGTTTAGTGCATCCTAAGACGCATTTAAGTTTGTTAACCTTCGAATAAGTACATACTGGTTATGGAGTGCAATCAAAAAATTCAAATTTTTTTATAGATCTGACTTTATTTATATTTCATACGGAAGATGGCGCTGAATACAAAATGGTACACAACGGTCCCTGTGTAACGCGATTAGTTATATAAGTATTTCATGGAATTATGTTTTGTAATAGAAAAAATATATTTGTTTAAACACCGTATAAATTGTAAGTGCTAATCAATCGAAATGAATTTTCTTAACCGTCTAGTCCAGGTAAAAAAAAATCTGTTTATTGTTGACCGCTAGCATTGGATACGTGGTGAAGTGAACATTGTTCGTCTTTATAGTATTAAAGAAAAATTGCCAAAGAGAGGAGAAACATAATGAACAGTGATCTAGTGTCGACAGAGAGTGCTTCCGAATAAAAGTTCCCTAATATTTGTTTACACAGTATTAAATACACTAACTGACTTCGCCGAGATGTTGGATCTATTGTTTGCCATTTACTTATGTATATATATATATAGTGGATATCTATAATTTTTATATTAAATGAAAATATACATATAGAAATTTGTGTCTCATTTTATCATAATATCATCATCATCATCACATCATCAGCCTATCAGAGCCCACTGCTGAGCAAAGGCCTCTTCTCACATGGAGAAGGTTTGAGCATTAATCACCACACTTGCTTAAGACAGGTTGGTGATTTCAAACTTATAATTGTGAAATTATAAGTCCAGGTTTCCTCACGATGTTTTTCCTTCACCGTCTGTCAGTGGCGTCTAAATATTCTTAAAAAGTACATATGACTCGGAAAAATCACTTCGGTACTTGCCAGGATCGAACCCGCGCTCTCGTGCACAAGAGGCGGGTCCTTTAACCACTAGGCCACCACTGATTCATCATCATCTATCATATCACATTCAAGAGGTAAGTAGTTCCTATAGAAAATAAAGTGATACGGAAAAGTATTTGTTTTTAACATTTAGACTCCGAAAATTTCAAGGAAGGTCAGTAGGTCAAAACACCGTGAAAAAAGTATTATGAATACTTACTAATCTTCTATATATATAAAAATGGATTGCTGTTCCTTAGTCTCGCTAAAACTTGAGAACGGCTGAACGGATTTATTTTATCTTAGTCTTGAAATGTTCGTGGAGGTTCAGGGAAGGTATAAAAGGTGAGAAAAATTGATTCATTTTCGGGAAAACCCTAAAAACAGCCCTTTTCTATTTCCCATACAAATGTTTTCTTTGACATTAGATTTGACAACTAACTAATATGTCAATCATTCTGTTCGATTGAAACAGGAAAAACCTGATTATTTATGGCCTCTAGGACGGAACAGACTTCGCCCGGTCAGCTATACATATATTACTAACTAGAAGAGCTGGCGAACTTCGTATCGCCCTATAATCAAGAAATATCTATTACGTTTTTTTATTTATATTTTTGGAGTTTACCTGTAAGCTATAAATCTGCGTGTTTTGAAGTGCGACAGAATGATTGACATATTAGTTGTCAAATCTAATGTCAAAAAAAAAACGTTTGTATGGGAAATAGAAAAGGGCTGTTTTTATGGTTTTCCCAGTAGTGAATCAATTTTTTTCAGCTTTTATACCTTCCCTGAACCTCCACGAACATTTCAAGACTAAGATAAAATAAATCCGTTCAGCCGTTCTCAAGTTTTAGCGAGACTAAGGAACAGCAATCCATTTTTATATATATAGAAGAAGAAGATAGAAGATAGAAGAAGAAGAAGAAGATGATGAAATTAACGCGGACGAAGTCGCGGGCAAAAACTAGTAACTAATAAAGAAGCTTGCTATGTCAAATATTTGATATATACTTTTTTAAATCCTATAGCTTCATTCAGACTAGAATTTGGAAGTCGTTTTTGCCTTATACTTTTACAAATTTGACATACAGTTAAAGGATATTTTGATACTTTTAAAACATTAATAATTTATTACATTGATTTTATTGATAACAATATTTCCACGGAGCCCGAAGCTCCTGTGAAATATTATCTGAATTTTATCAAAATATAATGTTTTGCCATTCTCTCAAAGCCTTTTCAACGAATTTATATATATTCATCAGGCATAGATTTAGTAATTTTAGTATTTAATAGCTTTCCGCCCGCGTGGAGTTCGGTTACATCGCGTTTCCAAGAGAACCTTTCAAAAGTCTGGGATAAAAATTATCCTATGTTCTTTCTCAAGGTCAACTCTATCTCTGTACCAAATTTCATTAAAATCAGTTCAGTGGTTTCGCATTTATAATATTAGTAGCGATTTATGTAAAAGCATGAAATGTTATTTCTATAGAGTACAGTGTGAATTATTAAATTATTATTACAGTTGTAACTGACGGCAAAGACTTTTTGAAGCTAGTTTTTTGAGATAGTCGAAACTGAACCTTTAGTCGGACTTTATTTAAAAGGTTTTTAATTATAAGAAGATTACATAATTGTGCATATTTTATATTGTTGTATGAAATACACATGTCAAGACTGTCACTAAATATTAAGTATAGAATACTATGAAAACATACAATACTTACATATTGAATACAATACATGTTGGATAAAACCGTAAAAATTTAATTAAGTAGGTATGATTGAAAAAAGATGAGAGCTTGAATATATGATTTCGTAAAGAAGCATCTGCTTATGAAACTTAATTAATTTTGGCAACACTCTGGTTCCAGTTATTAGTGTCTTTGTAAACTTTTACTACTTTCAGTCCCTGTCTATAGAAAGAATAAACATTTTTGTTTGCAATTTAGAGTATTTTTTGTTTTTGCTAACATTAATTATATTAATAATAGTTAATATTTAATGAATTATTAAATTTTATTAATCTTAATGAAGTATTAAATTTATTCGTAATGTTGACAAGACCTTTTTTCAAGTGACTACTTCGTCGTTTCAGTAAACAGATACGGGCCTTTTAATTGAAAAGCACTAACTTCAACATCTTCCAAAATATAAATATCTTGTCCTTATAAAGAACGTACAAGTAAATACATATGAGGAAATGAAATTTTTTTATTCTTGTAATTTTTTAAAAATAAATATTAAGAATTAACATAATATCTTGGTAGCCAAGTAGATAAAGAAATGTATGTAATTGGTTTTCGTTTCTATGTTTGATGGAAGACTTATGATCTAAATTATACCAGTTCAATAAACCGTCAACCAAAAATTAAGAAGTGATATTAGGTCACTTTTTGCATGTTTTAATCACAGTACGTATATTAAGAAATTTCGGGTTTAATATATAATAGGCGTAGCATATTTTGATAGGGGTCCGAACAAAATGCGTCACGCATCATGTAATCTCATATTTGGTGAGCTTAACATGCTACTGTAACAGTATAACATAAATACATTAATACATGCTATTTTGAACACACTTGATGGAACAAAAACGTTAAATTACCTAGACGCATAGTTAATTTCCACTGAAAGACGCTTATATAAATACTTAACAATCTAAAGTAGATCAATGAGCTTTCAAATGAATTTTCTACGGAACTATGCTTGCTTAATCCTTTCCTTTTTTAATCCGTGCAACAAAGACTATCGCATAACGTGAGATCTCCGAGAATCCCGACTAATTAAAACGTGTTTGTGTAATTCTATCTAGAAGTTGATAAAGAAGTACTTTGAGCTTTCTTTAATTAATTGCTCAGCGAATAGCCGCGCCTTAACTTGTTGATAACACACTAACCAATATATTTTTAAAGGAAAAGGATGGGTGCGACGAGACCTATTCAAGACTTTAAAATTTTTAAGGTAGATTCTTGCATGCTTGTCAAGTTTGAATCATTTTGTGTCATCAATATAATGCATAATATGCAAGCAATTGTTTCTATTAATCTCTGAAATACCTTCATAATTGACGTCACATGATATTATTTTTTTTTCTCTCCCGTAGCATTTTTTTGGCAGTAATAGAACAAATTTTAATTACATACAACATCACTCTTAAGCAACTAAAAACGTTTTACGAATAAGTGTTGATTTACTGTGTGTAATGATAGATTAATTTTTGCAATACAAAGTAAAACATTCAGTTTTATATTACATTCAGTTATATTTAAGTTTATGTTATAATATGTAATAAAGCATCAAGAGTTAATCAAAAGAAGGTTTTGATAAAACATTCTTTAAGGACACAAGACATTTACACAAGAATGTAACAAATTAAAATATTTATGTATTATAAAACTTTCGCTAAAAATAATGTTATTTTCGAATATTTTATTCATTTGTGGCTGAATTTAAACTAAATTACTTAAATACTTAAGGGGGTTTAAAAATAGTACAGTAGATTGGGATGCAAACTTCGATAAAATACGGAAAGTATATATTTAAATTCTTTCATAAATCCCCAATTTGAGTGAGACTATACATTTCTAACTTGGATTACACGCAAATCCTCAGTTCTATAACAATAATCTATAAGCTTTAGAAAGCTTTTCTTATGGAATATATGTAAATACATAACTCGAGATGAAGCGTGTGAGTAATCAATAGTAAAAATTTGAAAAATCTTGATATATTTTTTAATGTAAAAAATTACAAATGATCAGATATTCTACCTGGGAGGTCAGTCGCCTATATCGCCTACAGTCGCCCATAGACATCTGCAGCATGGTGTTGCGAATGCTTTGCCGCACTTGAACTAAAGAGAAGTATTGAAGGATGATGATGGTCTAATAACCATCTTATCGAAGAGCGTTGCTCTTGGTCTGACTGAGAGTCCAGTTTTATGTGGCGTTAGAAGGGTCCCCGATTCGACTAGCCCTTGCATGTTCTCCCTGTACCCGTTAATAATGAAACACGCTTAACACATCAAAACAGACTTATTATTATTCTCAGATAGTTTTTTGATCGATTTAGTGTCCCCGAAATTCTCGTTGTACTATCAAATATTTTTACTTAAAAAATATATTTTTATTGCACGTCAATATCTTAAGTTCAAAAACACATTTCAACTTATCTTTCTTTAAGCTATCAGGAATTTCCACTATCTATATATATCGTGAGTCAAGATGGCGTGAATTGCCCTCTAGAGGACGTGAAGGAAGCGTGAATATAAATTGCCTACGTGAAGATATTATTCTGTATTCGAGACACAAATTGCAAATTGACTCTATCATATATTATACCCATGTTACTTACTGTATGAGGAAAACGTTCATTGTCATCCTTGTTTTATTAATTAGATAATCATATCCCGGTTAAAAATTTTAAAGTAATATTCTACGATTATATGGAAATATAAATAATTCAATATAATAGATCGATTACTCATGACTAAAGGTGTTTTTATGTGAAATATTAATCTAGGCAAGTCATAGCAATTTTAGTTATTAGCAAAAAAAAAATCGAGTAACCGCGAAAATATCTGTTAAATCATTGAAGATTATAATTTGTATTGAGACACATATTATAAAATTGTAATGAAACAGATAGGTTTTCATATAATACGTTTATATAAGATAAAATTCCAATTTTTATTATTTATTCTATGCAATAACGAAGAAAGATGAGAAACAAGTATGAGTTAAAAGATGATTAAATTTACACTTTAAACATTTCCATTTTTCAAGAAACCTTATTTCAACGGAACCATTGAAGCTTTTAAAGTATTGTATTCTTTCAGCTCCAACTATCAGTTTTCAAATGAAACTCACTAGTTTCAAGTTATTGGTTAGAGTACATATCTACGTAAAAAACTTAAGCGAAGATCTCTAAATGAAAAACTGGGAATTATCTGTACTTATTTAGACGACGCATAAAACGGTGAGGGCACAGGTGTTGGTTTTTTCCCTTGGGAAATAAAGAAAGGTTAGTAAAACTAACACTGAGACCAAAATCGTACCGCTATTGTTGTTATTAACACATTCTACATATGTATACGTATGTATATATATGTATACCTATTAAATTTTCTCTTATAACACCCTAAGAGATATTAATAGCCCATACTGGCTTCATACTTAATCACAATAAAGTTCTAAAGCGTCACTTATTATGCAAATTGAAATGAAATGAGTTTTTTATCCCGATGTCTTGAATATTGAAAGAAATTGACGGTTTAATTTTATTAAAATTGCTCTGTCCAAATCGTCTTGCACATTTTCTTTTCATTTAGGCACAAAATGGTTCAGAAAAGAAAATGTAACGAGCATTCTTTGAAGGCCTCGAATAAACTGAAATATTTTTTTGTAAATTCTACTTCAAATGTATTTATATAAAATGTTTTCTAAGAAAAATACTATACAGTAAAATAATGCAAATAGATATGAATGCTGTTCGTATATTAAAAGGTGTCTTATAAACCATTGAATTTAAAATAATATATTTACTTTGTTAATCTTTCCTGTCTTAAAATTTTAACACAATAATGAATATTTAGTGTATATGCAGTTTAGACAGCACTTAATAGTAATCTCTACTAATATTATAAATGCGAAAGTAACCCTGTCTGTCTGTCTGTAACGCTTTCACGCCTAAACCACTGTACTGATTTTAATGAAATTTGGTACAGAGATAGAGTTGAGGAAGAACATAGGATAGTTTTTATCCCAGACTTTTGAAAGGTTCTCTTGGGAACGCTATATAACCGAACTCCACGCGAGCAAAGCTGCGGGCGGAAAGCTAGTAGGGAATAAAAATAAATATTTCTAAGGTTTCAATTTTTCTTTATGGCAGTTTTACTGTATAGTTGGTAAGTCTAGTTTTTAACATTATACCCTCTCCTTCTTAAAATCTAAATAAAATTTTATACAAATACAACACAAATATTAATTTAAATCGTTCCTATAAACAAACGTATTTGCAAAAGACAAATCCATTGACAGCTAAATTGCTATTGATAAATCGACCAAAATAATAATAAATGAATGATTTATGAACCCATTTGAATACTTATTTAATACAAGGTTATTATAGAATTTTATAACTACGTTTCCATTACAAAATGACTACTGTTTATAGAGAAATGGTAGTCATTAGTTTCATTTTTACGGTACATTTCGAAATGAAATTCAAAGTAGTCGTAAAACTCGGTACAATCTTAAATAAGGTTAACTGTGATAATAAATTCAACTACAATGAAATATAAAATGCAATTCGAAGCCACTCAAAACGATCGAGGAATAATAACTGAATGATAACTCTTTTATTTCGTCATAAATAGTTTAGTTAAAATTCTAATTTTATTTCAAAACTTTAAGCAATTCTTCTACAGCTTAATTTTAAATTCTATTTTGAAAACTACAATTTAGTACAAATGTAAATATATTTTAGTTAAGTAATAATAGTTTTAGTGCAATATTTAAAAAGAACGCTTCGTTTGTTTTAATATTTAGATAAAAATATAAATATTTTTTTATTACAAAATAAGTGTATGTACTCACCTTTTAGCCTAGCACCGAAGACGTGTAGAGGTAAAACTTTGTCTTTAATGTGCTAAAGAAAAATCACTTAATATTTATAATTAAATTTTATATACTCATGGTATAAAGAATTGAATATTTTCAGAAGTGCTATTTCATAAACACGATTACAAGGAGTGATGTTACCATGAAGATTATTTCCATGTCATTAAGTTTTACGAGCTCTTCCACCGTTTACGAGCATCTCCGCGGTCTGCATTATATTACATAGTTTAAACAGAATGTATAAAATTTAATAAACATATTTATTTTATAATTATAATAAACATTGCAAATCCGAGTATATGAACAGTAATTCTGTGAAAACATTTCATCATAAGCTGGTTTTAAACACGGTTTGTTTTTCCTTTGTTATTATTGAACCCCAAAGATATATAAGTTAGTTTTAATTAATCACTGTCTTTGTTATATCTTAATTAGAATATCGTGTTATTGGAAGAAGCCTGAACAGTTAAGTGATTTGGCAGTTCTTAAGCTTGGCTTCATTTTATTAACAAAAATCCACATCGCAATGAATGACCTGTAATGTTGATATGGCACCTAAGAAAATTCATATAATATTTTGATGTAAGTTAAATCATTTTCTTACAAAAGTAGTGAAAATTTTCTTAAGTAATTTCGTCTATTTTCGATACAATATTAAAAAACTCACTTGAAAGTCCTATATAAATGCATTATCTATATTAAAATTATCATCGAAAAGACAATACAACCTTTTTGTTGTAAGTGATTATATTAAGACTTTCGTTCTATCAAATATTGTTCTTTACTAGTGGGAATATCTTAGAACTTCTGTTTACGATGAATGCTCCTCACTCCTAAGATCTTTCTCTACTTCATCATTGTGTTTTTATTTTTCTTTCAACTCTCAATGTCATATTTCCTCGAAAGCAAATTCATCTGACCCAGTTTGACGAGGTTCAATAAAACTATAGCGTATTTACAAATGTTTATTGATTCATGTAGATTTAGTAATGAAATATCTTAAAACAAAACTTTATCAAAATTATCTTAATTAACAAGATTATTATAATTATTTTTATATAATTAGGGTATATAGAATAGATATTAGTACTTATTTGTATTTAAATTTTAATACTTCCACACTTAAATATTAACTTAAATAATTAACAACGGTATAATTATAAACATAAAAAAATACTTAAAAGCACATAATCTGGTATGATCACAGACATTCGAAGTATATCACAACACAGAACTGACAGAATTCACAAGTTAAATTCACCCAGCGTTTTGCAGTACAAAATAGTACGGCATCTGTATTTTGTTAACGCCAGCTGTAACCATATGTGGAGCGGATCCGTGCCATTCTATCCTATATTCATCTAAAATTCGTATCATGAGTGTAGAGAGCATTTTGTTCACGATTCCAGACGCCGGGCATGTTTTACCAAACGGCATAGATGCGTATGGATGAGCTCGCGACGCGTTCAGCGGCTGCCAGCTATCACTGTGCCAACGCTCGGGTATAAAAGACTTCGCTCGTCCCCATTCCTTCTCTAACTTACTTGAAACCCCGTGAGCAAGCACTATGTCGACCTGGAATAATACATTTATATCTATTATTTATGAGATCTAAGATTTTTGGGAGTTTTATTCATTTATGAAACTAATATTTTTCGAATTATACCTACTATGAGACTTTATTTTTGTTAAAAACTGTGTCCGTAATCATGTTTGCTGAAAAGTAGTCGAAACTTCGGGAGTATGTAAAAATGCGTTTTTATAATCCCAAAAATATTAGTTTCATTTAAATCTATTACTTGTATTTAAATAAATTATAAATACTAAGAATGTATTTATTATAATTTTTCTGTTTGAGTTACTTGGTATACTATTCTTTATATCGGGTTCCAACAAATTTAATCGTTACATTAAGACAAAATCAGAAAGACTATTATGCATACCAATTATTATTATTATTATTTAATGGCAAAAGAGGGCAACCGATCAGACGGCCTACTTGATGGTAGGTAGAACCGTCGCCCATGGACATCCGCAAAATTTGCGGATGTATTGCCGCCCTTAATTGGGGAATTGGAGGAAAAGGTGGGAAAGGGAGGGAAAAGGGAAAGGGCAAATTATAACAATCCAATGATCAACTTACCCCTTCAGGCACCTCGTACCCAGCTAGTCTCATTTCCCCCACACTCCTCCTCACAACTCCTCCAGTAGCTGGGTACATCCTTACCGCCTCACGTACACAGGCCCCTACATACTTCATCTCTTGCACCAAAAGTCCCTCGCTCCTCACAGCTCGCACCCAGCCCGCCTCATCATGTACTCGTTGCTGTCGCGCCGCGTGGAGTGATAACTCGTATAACATACTGATGGCTGTTTGCGCTAACTAAAATAATCGATAATATTGCTGTTATATATTGGATATAAGATTACTTTGTACTTTTACAAGTATTCATACGGTTTAAAGTGGATTTTTTTTTAATTTTTTTTAAACCCTAAATTAGTTGTCTGTACAAAAAAATATTCGCGATCTCAAATTTTAAAGATAATATTGAAACATAAGTAAATTTTTGTTATATATGTACATGTCTTAACGTTTAGAGTATATCTATCGAATGTTCCAATATTATTATTATAGCCGATTGATTTTTTTTTCTGATTTTATTTTGGGACTTTTTAGCAGCAAAGCTAAATGTCAGTCCCATCGTTCCCTTTATAAACAATCCCACTACCAACAATAAACATAAGCCTTAAAGTATCTAAAATAATTCTAAAATTTATAAACTATGTCTTATTTTAACTTAAACTGATAAATAGTTTTGGTTCTCCTGACTTTGGTATGGATAACACACTTTGAAAAATTCCTATATCCTTTAAATTAATCCTATATCTACATATGTATTAGCAACCGATTTATACAAAGACGTATTATTAACCTATACATTGAACATCCAAACATTATATATATGATGAATGTGAAGTTGAATTGATAATATGTACGTACTGGATCGACGCCAGCCAGGAACACGTCTGCAGCGAGTGGCAATATTCGCCTCTCCAATGGACGCAGTTTGTTTAAAAGCACTTGTTCGGCTTTGAGTTCTTCATTATTGAGCTTCTCTAGGGCTTGAGATAGAAAATGGTCTGTGAGGCTGAAAATATATATAGAGATTATAAGCACTAATGATGGATGCAAAATAATGTGCAACTTGTGACTATCATCAATGATCATAGAAATTTATTGGTAGTCAAAATTATTGCTATAAGTAAAACGAAATGAACGACTTTTTAAAAGGAGAATAGTACTAACTATGTTTGAATTTTTGTATAAATAATACGTTTGGACGCACGACAGCTCAATATGGACCATTGAAGAATATGAAATGAAGAATCTTCAATAAATATAAAGATATTTAGAAGAATTGAAGTTTGATTTTGGAATATCAATGAACATGATAAAGAAGTAACATTCTTTTTCTTTAAAAATAACGAATTTGTATTAAATTCGATATATATATTTCTAATGGTAAGATAACGATTATCACCTGTAATGTTTGTCGAATGTTTTCAAGGCTTCGTTAAACGTCTCTGAGTCTTGTCTCAGAGTTTCTTCGCTTCTTACTAAATAGTTTTCGTTTGCGATGTCTAAAGAGCATCGAACGAACCTCTCTGCTGGTGAGAGATCTTGTTCTCTTCTTTTTGTTAGAGAACAGAGATCTTTGATGTGATCATCCATTGAAGTCTTCTCTGGTTTCCTAAATCACTCTTTTCCATTAAAACACTGTAATCTACATTATATGTAGTTATATTCGTTGAACAATCGTAGACACGTAATTCTCTAATAAACTTTGAAAGTATTTAACGGTACTAAGAGACATATTTCAAACCTCTAATTCTGTAAGTTTGACAGATCTCGTTATAAATGAGCCAAAGTTTTTAATATGAACTTTATAAATCTCTAAGGAACCGGTCGTTTTTAAGGTTTCGGTTATTAATAACGTGGGGTGTTCCAGACTAATCGGTTTTAAACTACGCCTCGGGGAGCAGTGACGTTATATAATTCGGTGATGATTTATAACGCTATATACATGTTTACAGTGTTTACCTGTTTTCTTCTGTGGGTACGTGAACATTTCCATCTAGACATCCTAAACGCATTCCAAACATTACCACGCCGATAATTTCTATGGCCCAGCGGTAAATTTCTGTTTGTAATTCTTCATTCAGTGCATTCCCTGCGTGTCTAAGACCTTCCAATCTATGAAAAAGTTTTTAAGTATATTATGTTTATCTATTCATTACAATTAAATATGTTATGTGTCTGTTATTATGTTGTACCTCCGTATAACATCAGCAGCTATGTCATCGAATGCCTTATCATAGTTTCTAAGAAACGATTCATCTTGTAACAACGTCCGTAGCGCAGACCATATAGCTTTAGTTTCATCTCTGTAATTAAATATATGTATATGAGATGTTTTGTTATTATTTACTAGTAAGAATAAAGTTAATATCATAATAATACGAAGTCCAATGACTGGTATACAGTTCAAAGTGTAAGTTTTATCTGTATTTATTTGTGTGCAATGATTCAGAATTGCAATACGTAATGTATAATTGGATGTTGTATAACAGATTTGATTACTAATTAACTAAAACTAGGCTGATACTTCATGTGCCTAGCAAATATGGTCTGTGTAATATAAAATAGAACCATCGGTATAATTGTTGTGATGATAAAAATGTTTATTCATTACCTCTCCATCGGGCACTTCATGTCAATATTCTTCCTGTGTTCGTTGAGAGGTGACTGACTCCATTGTGGCGATACCGTCATATTACTATCATACACCTAGGATAAAAATATATTATTAAGTGTCACCATATATAAATAAATTTTGTGAGCATATTGAGTAGGTCTGAGAATCGGGAAACATCTATTTTTCATACCCCTAAGTCATAAGGGTTATTAACCCTCAATAATTTTTTTTTCGGACGAAAATTTTTGTTTTTTTTTATTATTTTTATAATGTAGCATTAAAATTTAAAAATACATACACAACATTTTTTTTTATCACCTACCCTAATTTTTTTATATGGCAAAAAAATCTGCCGGGTCAGCTAGTTATTTATTCGAAAATTTTATTCTTCGTTCCAAACGAAAATTAATTGAATTTACTTCTAACAATTTTGTGTCATACTTGTTTAAGCAAGAGTATTCGTTAAATATTTATAGTAATTGTTTATCCCAAAACGAATTATTATTCAAGGTCGCTTATATAAATAATGAGTGAGAAAATTTTATCTTATTTCATTCTATTCGTGTTTACATTTATCTAAATACGCTGCGTAGAAGTTAAAGTTCATTAGATAAGCGTTGCGAAAAAATTGTGCCGGTTTACATATTTTGTGCTGTTTCGTTTACGATAAACATTTATTATTTTAGACCTATTTTATATACACATATAAAATAAAAAATCTGCGTAGTTAATAAAGGAATGATTGGTTCTGTTTCAATATTATTAATACAACCATTTTTTTTAATAAATCTCTTGCATGTTTTAATACGAAATATAATTCCTTATATTTCAGAAAACAATTTAAAGAATTATGTATTATGTGTATTGTTTATAAATGTGTTTAAAATAAAGAAGCGTTTTGTTTAGTTTTCACCTAGATTTCAAGTTATCCTACAAATACATATATAAACTTTAGTGAAAATCTCGTATAACTAAAGGTTATTCAAGAATATATACGCAAATATATATAGGTATATATAAATATACATCTATTATATGCCGTTTCATACGGATTATATTTCTTTCTTGCAAAACTAGTAATAAATATAATTATGTAAAACTCGAATGTTTATTGACATTTAACGCATCTGCGTCAGCGTTTAAGATAACTGTTTGTTTACAATATTATATATTTATATCTATATATTTATTAGTAGAAATTTGTATCTAAATGCTATGTCTATAGAGAGTATAATCGAATAACACTAGTTGTAGACAAAGTTTATAAATAAGTTACTAGGAATACAGGAAAGTATAGCTGTCATTATTTTATACACCCATTGATAGATTTCTAGAAGTAAGTTTTAAATCATTCACGTTTTAGCAAGGTGAGCCAGAACAATGGGGTAATTCTAAATAATAATTTTCAACAGTTAATAACAATATATTTATATCAACAATATATTATTGAAACAATTGACATTTTTTTCTTAGTATGTAATATATTTTTTCTCTATCTACAGGGATATCCCTAAAAATATGCACATTTAAATGTAATTTTTGAAATAAGAGAACTAAAGTTCACCTTAAATAGATATTTTTTGTGTTTTAATTTAAAAAATAAACAACTTTAATCCACTGTCTTCGCTTGTACGTAGTAGGTATGTATCGTATAAATAAGTCAGAGTATACCAACAAACAAATTGATGAGATGCTTGCATATTTTGTAATCAATATCTATTGGTTGTGGTTTTGCTTATATATTAAGATCAATTGATTTTAATATGAAGGCTAGTTTGTCACATGATTCTAACCACAAAAGATTATTTTTTTCATACATTTATTAAGAGGTTGAGAGAGGAGCTTAGACGGTGGAGGTGAGCGTTTAACGCGCTTTAAACTTACACCTGGGTCGCAAAGTCCAAGGCACTCTTGAAGCTCCTCTCCCTGCACTGATGGACCCGACACAAGCACGGTGAAAAAATTGAATGCTTATAAGTTTCTTCTTACAATGTACTATTAGAGACGAATTTGAACATATTTTTACTATTTCAATACATCCAATTGAAAAACTTACTTCATATCCTTTAGAAGACCCAGTTACTTTAAAAATCAAATAATTTTAATCATAATAATTCAACCTAAAACTGAACCTGAGATATATTTTTTGTTAGAAAATGTTTTAATTGCGAAATTTTTTACATATATGTATCAATAAGTGAATAATTAGCGTATATGTCCTCATATAATGTCTATGACCTCGCCAGCGTCACTAACATTTCTATCACACTCCAAGTGGGACATGTTTGTTTGACATCGATTTGCGTATTGCGAATTTGAACAACTTTCACATTTAATACTATTTATATTTCCATTCTAAACACTTTGTTTTTTTTATATCTAGTGACATATAAGGAAGTTTTTATTCTGTTATAATATTTAATATTAATTTGACTTAGGTTTCTATTTTGTTCCTTTATTATGAGAGCCTCATTTATTTAAGGTTGATTAAAACTACTATATGTTATAGGACTTCTTATATTCCATTTTAAGTATTAACTCTAAGTGTTGCTAGAAGTTCGAACAAGTAGTGTTAGTAAAGAAATTGAACTTATTTACCTCTTTCATGAGTTCAGGATCGAAGACGTATAGTACTGGACGAGATCGAGTTGCTTTGGCGAAGCGGACCAGGTCTCCATATCGCTGTTGTAGACCTTCCAGAAGACCCAATCCCACGGTGTGATGGAAACAACCTGGAGAGATATAGATAATAGATATAGATACGTTTTCGTCTATAATATTATAGTTCGAGATCTAAGTAGTTGTACTATAATAGTATTATTTGAACATATTAGCGTTAAAGTGTTATATCACACTTATATTTTAATACTTCTAGTAAAAAATAACAATTTTATGATTTGTATTTTATTTTACTTCTCCATTGTATTGCACGTCTGGATCAAAAGTTATGTTTATAGTAATCCAATGATATTTTAGATGATCTTATTTTTTTATCAAACTCTTAATAATAATTCTACAAAATTCATCTTTACATTGTTTTAAAGATCAATTCATCTATTGAAAGTCCTATAGAAAGTTGTCTCGGTCAACTTTAAAAGACTAATAGCAAAACAAAAATTATTACATCCTTAACCTTAAAAAAAATTGACTTAATTTGATATACTTACATATATGTTCATATTATACATTTAAAAATACGTTACACTTTTTGAGCATTTAATCGTTTTTTCTAACTTCTCTTATAAGAAGGGTGTTACAAGTTTGACGTCGATATGTATGTTTGTCTGTGGTATCATATTTTCCGAACGGATCGACCGATTTCGATGCGGTTATTTGACTTAACAGCCCGTTTAATTGTGGCAGCTGTTGTGTACGTTAACAAGTTAATGCCAGTTAATACCAGTCCAGTAGTCTAAGACTGTCAATACTTTTCTACAATTATGTAATGTATTTTGGGCCAACGATTATCCAATGCAATGCCTCACAAGTCGTGCGTATCACTATAATTGTTAAATGATAATAAATGTGTAGGTTTTTTTAATTAGTAAAATTTTCATTACATATTTGTAAAACATTTTTAAATTCTTGTATTTATTGGTTTCATGTTAATCTGAATTTGATTGTATAAATTATTTAAAGATATGATTGCCAAAGTGATAAAGCAAGAAATATATCGAAGTTTGTAAAAATTTTGACAATCTGTCTGAGTGTGGGGCGGATAAGTGTAAGGTTATTGCGGAGGAGTTAAACGTGGTTCGACTAACGGGTTTCGTAAAGTTATAAGTATAAGTGGGAATTACCATTAAACCCGATAGAAAAATTCGTAACCATCAATAAGATCTCATGTATTAGTTGAGGACTTTCTATTGTAATGAATTATGTATAAACATAGTTTCAACATCACTATTGCGTCTACTTAAGTATTATTATTTATTATTTTAGTAGTTCTGATAGTACTTTATAATCTAATGTAAGAAACAAACTTTGTCCTAATCTTTATATAAAATGTTATGGAACGAACAATCGAGACATAAAATACATATATGAGCGATATCACTTGTTCCTTTGTACCATCGTTTAATCATTATTCATTGAAGTCGATACAAATTAATCAAAAATATAAATAAATACTATGTATTCAAATTTACTTTGTAGTAATTCTTAGTAAAAGTTATATACAACAAGTGCATGTAAAAAAAGTATTTTTTTAAACTACTTACTTAACACAATACGTGATATATTAAATAATGATCTTTTGTTGCAACAAAATAATCAGAATACATAATATTTTTTGTATGTAATGAGACTATTGTATAACTTATATACTTATTTTTCATATAGTACTGGTTTTACACGTGCTAGTGAAATGATAGTATGGTGTTGCAATGCATATATTACCATTGATTATATATAAAATATAAGCATTAGATGCGACTAATTGAATTTTAATCAATATTTCTGTAAGGAAGAAGTGCTATTAGTATCTTTTTTATTGATAAAACGAGCAAAATACTCGGAACTTTCTTGAAACAGCTTATTGTTTTGTTCAATACTTTTAGTGTGACTTTGACTGTTAAAATCACTGCAATTTTAGCGTTTATATATCACATACATATCGAAATAAAAAATGTTAATCAGATTAATAAAATGGCTTAAAACTATCAGTGAATAAAACATGTAGTAAGGGCTATGAAACTCGACAATTTATAAAAATTTGGTAATGTCTTTCTTATAGATTACTTGCATAGAATGAACGGGTTAAAGTAATGTTCACTAAGCTAGCTTCTATAAAATAAAATTGTAAAATTCTACTAGAATTTTATAAATAATACAAAGATATATGGAGTCGGGTGAAAATATTGCAACAATCAATATTGTCTGAACCACCGAATAGCTCTCTTTGGTAGATAAATGTTTAAAATAAATAAATGTTATCCATTGTCGAGAGTTCGATGTATGATCCGTCTAGATATAGAAGTGATTTAAGTTGAGTATCGTCTGGACTGTATATAAAACATATATATTTATATAAGTACTGGAAAATTCAGGTTTGCGATAATACTAGACGATTTCAAAGATATAGCAATATAAATATGTATAATATGATATATGTATATTGTGTAGGTATATATAAAATGAGTAAGTCAGTAGTGGCCTAGTGGTTGAAAGGCCCGCCTCTTATGCACGAGGGCGTGAGTTCGATCCTGGCAAGTACCAATGTGATTTTCCCGAGTCATATGTATTTTCTAAGAGTATATAGACATCACTGATTAATGCATTCCCAAAGAAGATTGATGTCAGGCAGTCAGCCGGCCGTAAAAACAATTAGCCAAAACTATTACAACATGTAAAGCAGACCCTGGCTATAGCTGGGGAATTGCCAGGTAGAAAAAGATATATAACACGAGTGTTTTTTATATATTTATTGTATATGTATATGATATTTAACTGTAATAATATTTTCTTTTGTCCGATCTCCTCAATTGAGTGTTCAAGTGCTCAGTTAATATAAACGCTTACGTCCGCTCAGAGAGGTTACAATGAGTAATGGGAAGCACGTTTTTATTCAACGTAAATTTATGAATTATATTATAGTCAATATTCTTTAGAAATTCTTATTAAATTAAATATTATATGTATTAAAAAAGCTATGAACTTTTAAACTTGAACACCTTTTATGTAAACGGCAAGCAGAAACAGATTAAAAGTTTGTATAAACCACCACTTTGGATTAACAAAATTGCTTTTATGCTCTCAAATTTCACAAAAAGGGTTGCGATGGCTTTATCTTGTAACAAATATAGCGCTGATAAAAGTTCGAGTTTTTGCTACCAACGTTTATACGACGCTCGCTTTAGAAATGTATTTTAATCAAATATTTTATATATGAAATATAATAAAATCTGTGTCTTATTGTACAGTTTCGTCTCCCATCTTATATTCATTTCGATATTCAGATTTGTATATTGAATAGAGATGCAATATTGAATCGTAATGTAACTAGGAGACTCAAATTGTTCTGAGGCTCACTTCTAAGCCGCATACACACACAAACACATATATAGAATTAATTGTGTTAATTTTAAGTAATAATTTTGTCGTCTCACAGATAGTAGAACATGGTTCTATAATTAAACATATTAAGTACAAAAGATAACTTGATGGAACCTTATCGGTATTAATGATTAATTTTGACGCATACGATTTCATGTAACCATATAAAACTATATCTTGGTATATTAAAAATACTAAGAAATCTTCGCTTAATAATATTATATCGTATGACACCGGTCTGTTACTGGAAGGGAGTAGTTTTATTGATATTTATAGCACAATAACTGGCTTGGACCCAGACATAGGAAGTACTAACCGGCTTTACCGCTATTTGAGTAACTTTCTCCATTAGATATAAATATTATTAAGCATTATGTGAAAGTAAAAGTATATAGCAAATGTGTTTTGGCAGTGAAACAGTTTTAAAGAATATGCTTTTAATATTCTTGGTATATTTTAATAATAATGATAACATATCTCTTGCTGCTTCATGTGTTATGTAATATGAGCTCACAGCTTTTGATTGGGATTTTCATTAATATGTATAGAATAAATTTATTAGTTTAAAAGTTAGATAGGTAATTTAGGAAAAGCTGCTTTAATTTCCTATATGACTTTAGTTATAAGGACGAAAAAATTACTTATTTTGGTATAAATTTAACGTAGTAGAATGTATGGGAAGATATGCTCACCAATTCTGGGTAGAACGTGGGCGTGATGTCTCATAATAGGAAGAGCCAAAGGACCTGGTATGTCTGAGAACTTTTTGACATTTCCAGGTCCAGGTTTTACAGCAGGTTGAGCCACGTTGTAACGCTGTGGCGAAGTCGACGTCCTTTTAACAGACGACGTCGAAAATTGTCGCTTTGGACGAGAGAAACTGAAATGTTATAATATCGTTAATATAATTAACTTATGTACAAGGTTTGAAAACTTAGAGTAGTCATTTAAATGTAACTAATATTTTTCGGATACACTACGCGATTTTATTTTTGATAAAAACTACATACTCCCGACGTTTCGGTTACTTTACAGCAACCGTGATCACGGGCAGACGAGATGATACATCGATAGTATGTAGTTTTATCAAAAATAAAGTCGCGTAGTATATCTGAAAAATATTAGTTACATTTAAAGGAAAAAAAACTCGCGAAAATCTTTGATCTCATTATAACTTAGAGTAGTATTCATTATTATTCTAAAAATTATAACCACAGATTATAAATATTCATTTTAAAGTTGATATGAAAAGTATGTATATAATACATACAACGTTTTAAAGTTCTATATTATGATTCATGCGATCTATTTCAAAGACCGGTAGAAGTTACTGCGCATATAAAGCAATGAGATAAACATCTCATACCTATTATAACTATAAAACTGACCACAATACATGGATCGTTAAAACAGTATTGTAGACTCTTTAATGTGTAAAGGAAATGCAATTGTTATGATACGAAGTAAGATGAAAATTCTCTATTAGTGATTTAGATTTGACTGTTAAATTTTAAGTTACTGAATCACTCACAAAGCTTATATGTATATACATATAAACTGTAAAATTACAGTAGAGCGTTTCAAAGATTCAAATTAAACCAAAATCTGCAAAATTTGAAAATTACAACATTAGATATGCGACTGACAAATCTTTTAAAAATAGTGTTTTTTTATACTTTGAATGGATGTAATGAACCATAATAGGATATTTTTCAGAAAAAAAGCAAAATAGCATTTTTGTCGCATACAACAACTTACGTCGGAGGTGTATATAGGTATGTATATGTTTAAGAGATAAGAACACTAGTTTTTCGTAAGGGAGTATCAAAAAGGAACTAGCTTGTAAGCCGAATTAACAAATTCCGCAGTCTCATATAAAAGCCTCTGTTATCTTTTTATGTATCTGCTTAGAAGGGTCCACATTAAATTTTGCTTGAGTAAACAGATTTGATACAAACTGGATTTTATATTATCCCAAGATCCTACAGAACAAATATGTTGGAAGGAATAAGTAATACTTAAGGAATTTCATTTAAATGAAACTAGTATTTTCGGATTACCACGCCTTATTTTACTATTAAAAATTACATACTCCAGACGTTTCGGTTACTTTGCAGCGACCGTGATCACGGGTAGACGAGATGTGAATGTAAATTTTGGGAGTGTGTAATTTTTTTAAATAATAATAAGATATTAGTTTCATTTAAATGAATACTAAGGAAATTCAATTTCTATCTGAAAGAAATTTTTAGTAGAAACTAAAGCTAATTCTAAAGCCCTATAAAATATTACATTATATATACATAATAGTGAAATACATAAATTGGTTTTGTAAAAATCATTGTTTGGAATTTATTAATGGGTAAATAATTTTAAGTATTTATATAAGAATTTTATATGTGTTTATGGAAGTCGTATCAGCTGTTTATATATCTTATGCTTATAAATTACATATGAGTATGACATGAAGAATTAATGTTTATAAAAAATATATCTTATAAATAGAAGTAAGTTAAATCTGCTTACTCTAAGTTTATACCAATCACTCTACACACTGGTCTATAATATTTTTTTTTAATTTAATCTTTTCATATTCTAGGTTTTTTTTCGATTTGACTTTTGCTATTAGTCCTACTGACTTCGACAACGTCACTGTTTGATTATATTATAGTAATAATGTAATTTATTGAATGAAACATGAAACGCGTCGTGTATAGTCTGATGATACAAACTTATGGTAATCATACTGCTTCTCTAACATTTTCTTTGGTATGGACAATTTTTAAATAATTTTTATGTCAAAATATTGTTGTTTTCCGCATAAAAATAGAAAACAATAAAAAACTGATTCTTATTTGAATTAGTTATGAGTAGTTCACAGAATTAATAAATTTATTTATTTTTTATTAGTTTCATTTAGGGATATATTATACCACCTGTGAATGTTTCTATAAAATCTTTAAAACAAGCGAAACCGTGAGCGAGCACTAGTCGTAATATTAAAAGGAATATCAACTGTGAGACGTTATTAAACATTTGATACACCGTTAAATAAGCAACCATATTTTCGTACGTCGCCAATGCTACATATATGGGTGAAATGTTTGTTTTTTGGGATCATTCCCACAGAAGTAATATTTGATATTGAACTCAATCATTATAGTAATAAGGTTCATGTTATTGTTATTGCATTTCAAGGTGAGGGCCGTAGAATGCAGCCAGTTATGTCGGTGCATTATTTTAAGACTCCTTATGAATTCTTCATTTGACGTGCTTAAAATACTTAATAAGGTTTCAATTTTTTTTTTCTTAAACGACTTCTATTTAGAGAAAAGTTCTCAATTGGACGGTATGTTAATAAAAAAATGTGCAAAAAGGTTTTATGTTTGTACAAATATTTGACAAATTTATTGTCTGTTTCGATAAATAATTTATTATGTTTAAAAATGTACAAAGACTGGGAAAAGTAAATATAAAAAATACCATCGTAAAAACAGCTAAAACCAAAATCAGCGCCCATATAAAATATTTCGTACATTCTTTTAGCAGTTACTGTCATAGTCTATGGTACTTTATTGTTTATTTCTGTGTCAAATAACATTTTACCGCCATTATGTTTATATAAAAACAATGTGTTGATACCGTCACCGAGATTTGCGACGCAATTTTTATGAATATTAATTGGTGTGGAATAATAAATAGCTTTGACAGGACGTGTTGCATATAAATTACAACAATTTAATATGTTGTTTTATCGATATAATTAAGTTGTCTCTTTTAATATACTCTTTGAGTTTGTTGAATAAAAAAAATAGATTGTAAGACATTCAAGTTGACAATTTCGTAATCGATTGGGAAACTATTTTTTTTAATATATTATTCATTCATGAACAGAAAAAATAATTAAGTATTCTGTTATATATAATTGATTTGAATTTATAATGAAGTTATTTTAAGTTAGTGGTATGTACTAAATACAATAATAAAATCGTATCTCAACATCATCTTTAGGAAACTATTATTTTAAACTAATTATACGATTATTTATTTATAAAAGGCAATATAAAATTTAAAAAAGGTTAATAAATAATTAATCATTCAGTTTTTAAAAAAGCTACATTTAACAATATATTATCTTTCTATTCTTGTTCACTATTTTTTATATTAATTGAAATAATTCACTTAAATCGAACAGGTAAATTCATAATAAGAGTTTACAAATCAATATTACGTAATTGCATTTGTTTTATCTATATATTTAGCAATCGATTAAATATAATTATTAACGTAATAAAACAAGTTAATATTTTTGTTCTTCAAGTGTTTATTTAACGTAGGCTTAAGGTCAAAGAAACTGATCGCGTACGTTCTGATTTGATTAGTTTGATACTTGTATTTATTTAGTATAAAAAAACAAAAATAAAGTAATCAAAAGAAACGCAATTTCTTTTCGTATATCACTGTAGACATAAAAAATATAGGAACTCTTTTTAAAAAATTCAAAAAAGGAACATGGAAGAAACAAATAAATAATGTAAGTAATAATTTTGAAGATTAAAAAAAAAAAATAAACTCACAAGCATTGTCTAGCGAGCACAGTTTTGGACATTTTCACAGTTTATTATTTATAAACACAGGACAGTTCATATCAACACACACACTACTTGTAATTACACGCGAGCCACGGCCACAGTACGCGCGGCGTCTACTGCGTGCGAGCATCTAGTGATGTTACGACTGTACCGTGTTGTTTTGATTTATTTATCGATACTTTCAAGGCTGCTAAGGATTTAGGTTTTGGAAGTATTAACTGAGTATAAAGTCGATTTTTTATATAAATTATACTTGATGCTTAATATGTAATATTAATTATTTTTATCGTGTATTATTTGATGTTGTCAACACTACGTCTGGACTTTGAACGTGGCCATAATTGAAACCTTCAAGGACATTATTCCCATAAATGTAACGGGAGAAAAATTAAGTGCATATTCATTGAGATGACAATTAGAATTCTTGAGTTCTTATACGAATACATTAATATGAAACAAAAGAGTTCTTTATTCATGCATTTCGATGTTATTGTAACTGGCCTTGATTTAATTAAAATATGGAGTAGTTTTTATATTGATTAACGAATGTATGAATAAAAAGGATTTTCATGAAAATTCAGAATGTTAATTTGAATAAACGAAATATTTAAAATGTTTATTGTCGAAAGGCTTGTTGGCTTGTGAATTTTTACCATAAAGGATTCTTCAAGTGATTAGAAAAGTTATCTAAAGGTTTTATATAAAAAAAATTGAAACCTCTCAACTAACATACGTAGACCAATTATCTTTAATTATTATGACTAACTTGACTTCAGTTTAACTCCAAGATGTCAACTTGCAATAACAAAACGTGCTCAATCTATTTTCATGGAGTTTATTTCACAAAAGTCATATTACTTACCAATAGTTGCAACTAATGACAAAAGACGCAATATTAGAATGAGAAGTATTAATTGATAATATGACGTTACGAGATGCGTGCTGTAGAATTTATTATGTTCATTATTATTGTATGAGAAACGGTAAACGTTTCGTATTTCGTATTACTATATAGTGTGACGATGGAAACTTATACTAAGCATACGAGCATATATGTAACACTTTGAGACTGTCGGTTTTAATTAAACGATGGGATTGTAGTCTTTGGTATAATCGATATCTATAGTTAGTGATGGAAATTGTCAGGTCAATTAGCTCGTTAATAGATCAACGAGAAGGAATCGTTTTTATTTTTAAATTTAACGAAAGAGGTTTGTTAATTTTGAATAAAATCTTCACAAAATATTTTTTTTAATAAAACCTCAATTGTAGTTGTAGTCTCAAGTCATGATCGCAGGATAGGATAATGTTTCATTATATTAAACTATTATGAACGCTTACGATTTACAAACGAAGTATTTGTTTAATTTTATAGATTTTTGTAATTAATTTCGTTAACTTCTTAAAAGTTCATGCTTCGAGTCACGTTCGCACTCCCAAAATGTACGCTTTCTATGAACCGAAATGAGGCAAAATGAACGCCCGTAGTGTCATGAGGGCTGACAGATACAAATAAATGATATGGATTAAATCGAACTTGCTACTGTTGTCGCCGTTTCATTACTAGAACAGAAAAAATTTAAATCTATACTGATAATTATATAATACTAGGTGCACCCCGCGGTGTTACCCGCGGATTTCCGGGATTTTCGAGATTTTCGGGATGTAAAGTAGTCTATATGTTATTCCTGGACGTCAGTTTCCTGTATACAAAATTTTATCAAAATCGGTTCAGCCGTTTGAGCGTGAAGAAGTAACAAATATACACACACACAAACTTTCGCAATTATAATATTAATAGGATATAATAAGCGAATAATATATACTTTATATATGTATAATAAAACGTAGTTACAAGTCGAGTTATATGTTATATAGACAAATAAAAAATATATTGTTTAAAAAATCATAAAATATTTTTGTATATGTATATTTAATTTTCTTGTAAAGTATTAAATAACTACTTACAGTATATGTGACAGCCCTATAGCGGTGAGTTGGACAACGTGACATCCCTCATGTAAGACAACTTGCAACGCTTTGAAGACAAATACATTTAAAACAATATGAATTCTTATAATATTAATACATTGGTTTGATTTAACATTTATAATTTATACGATTATTTTAAGTCGTTATTAAATATTATAACCGTACTTTGGTAAGGAAAGCAGTTAATGTATTTCAATAGATTTGAACAAATATGTTTCATTAACAAGATTGTTATTAAGATTAAAATGACATTAAGTCTATATGAGAACTTCAAATATTATCCTTATATATAGTAAAATATTTAAACACATATTTGTTCTGTCTTGCGCTCATCACGTGATAGTCACGTGACATATTTTTGATAGCCACGATCTTTGATCTGTCACAATTTTGTTTTTAATCAGCATTGATTGGAACTATAGGTTTTCAAGCGAATGTAATTGTTTTCTTACTAGAAGTATTTTTAGTATACAGCAAATATCTTGATTAAACTACAGTGTAGTTCTTTGTTCTTAAACAAATAGCCAAAAACTATTCACAACATGTAAGGCAGACCCTGGCTATAGCTGGGAAGTTGCCAGGAAGAAGAAGAAGAAGAAGAAGTTTTATAGCAAACATATCACAATGGTCTTTGGGTTGACGATGTATCTTGATTCCCACTCAAAGTTACAGAATCTGTTGTTAGGCAAACATTGATTGAATTTCAAAATAGAAATTGAGTAAGCAGTTGTGTTTACCAATAAAGAACGAAAAGACATTCAAACAAATTGAATATATTTTTATAATTTAAATACTAGATAAGAATAGAGTCTATTCCGAAACAAAAGACTTTAATAGTAATGAAAAGATATATAATGATTTTAAATTTAATAGTGTAATGATATCTAAGACTTTCGCGAGTATTCATTTAAATAGAGATAATTCTACTGCTTTTGGATGTACTCTCGTATTTTTTATTATTTAAAACTACATACTCCAGACGTTTCGGTTACTTTGCAGCGACCGTGAACACGGGTAGACGGGACGAAAAGGTTTTATTTTAATACTGTTCTTTTATTTTACGTCTAATATTTATTATATTATAAATTGATGGTCTCTTAATTAAGAATCTCATATTTATCTGATTTAATAAAATTATGTATATTACCACCTTCAGACGAGATTTAACGCGAATATGAATATCGCAATGCAAATTTTGCTCTGTATTCCTAACAGGCGCTTGCACTTTTAAGAAATAATAATATTTAAAACAACCGCTATCTCTTAATTAATTCTGTTCATATCTTTAGAATATATAAATTATAGCTGGGAAATTGCCAGGTAGAAGAAGAAGAAGATATTAATATATTAGAGAATTTGTATTACAATATATTTTGGGAACATTTATTTTAATCATCACGTATTTTTTAATAAAAACTTCTGTCCTATCTTGAACAGAGGCTTAAAAAAAGTTCGGCGACCCATTAACAATTCAGCAATCCCTTTATACTTGCTAACTTTGTTCATTTTCAACTGAAAACGGAATATCAAACAAAAGGTCTCGGTACTGGCATCCAACTTTAAGGGTTCCAACTTAATATTTTCTTAATGTGAACCACAAGATATGAGCCAGCTCTCTTGTTGTTAAAGAATTTTAACAAATACTTATGATCATTATACTATTATTATACTTCAATATCTCTTTATTTTTGATTACAGGTAATAAAACTCTTGTTTTCTTTACTGTGTATACGTTAATATTTCTAAATAGCATATCCTACTGTATTTATATTTTTGTAAATCCTTTTTTTTTTAAAGTACCGATTATAATTCATATTATTAATTATTAACTGGTGCTCTTCTTTGCCATTGTTACTGACATTTTGCTATATTTAAATGTCAGGCGTTTTTAATACTTTATTTCTTATTGAGCATTATTAAAATTTGATGTCGTATAAAATTAAGGGTATATGTGTAAATACTTAAAATCGTCTCTTGGATAATGGAAATAATGTTTCGTTTTGAATGTTAGCATACGTAATGGAGGGAATATACAATTCTGTTTCGTTTCGCCAATTATCTCGCTTTTCAGTTATAAGTTGTAATTATGCTTATTATTCTGGCAGATTAATTTCTGACATCCCTTATGGCGGTTTGAAAAGAATTTTCATTCATAAATATTATATATTTTAAATTTTTGCTATTTTTCTTACTTTTTCTCTTACATTCGAAGGTATAACGTAAGAAAGGCTTAGGTAAAAGTTTTAATGGTTATACAACTGAAACTGGTATTTGGAAGTTTGAGATACTTTATGTCATAAAATATTTTAAGTGTCTTTCATTCGGCATTTCCTGTCTTCTAGTAATAATACCAGGGTGTGTGATATATCAAAGACATGCTCGTTATCATTCAAATCCCACAGCTCCTCTCATTTTTCACTTTCGCATTGACTGTAGCTGTAAGCCCTAATGATATAGCAACTGAAGAAAGAACCTCAAAACTCTCTAAGTCTAGCAGTGAAATAGCCCGATCTCGGAGGTCAGGTTATGAGTACATTATCTCTGTTAAAGTTGATCATGCCCTTAAATCGCTGGTGCAAAATTTCCAATGTGGTATGAACTTAGTGGCACGTGATACCATCATGTTAAACAATGTCCTAGGTGTGCATCTATTACAGGTTAAAAGAAGTTGCTAAAAATCGTTGCTTAATTTTAGTGATTGTATGAATAAATCGTTCTGAAAAAAATATACCAGACAATAATTTCTTTACTAAATTCAATGGTCTCAGATATCATGTGCATAGACAATTTTGTTTTTCATATTTATTTTGTACAACAGCGATGTTTTTGACAGATTTTACGTTTCGTTAATGTGCGGCTTCGGACTATTGTTTAATAAAAAGTGGTCTTAAATTTATACACCACATTTTGAATAGGTCTCTTAGTCCACTGAATATGTCCATACAAAAAATACAAAGCGTGATTTCCATTCAGGACACATGTTTTGGAAAAATAGTTTTATTTTTTGCTCGTGTTACTGAATTCA